ATAAATTTGTAGCTCAAGTAATTAATGTAAGACTCATGTTGAGATTAATGTAAGACTCATATTAAGTTGTCAATTATTATGAATCGAATTACTTAAAAGGTGAATAACTTGATCTTCAAGATATTTGACTTTTGACGTGATACAATATTAGTTTGCAAGAATCATGAAACCAAGATTTGAAACCCTAATTAAATAAGACATATTGTATATGTGTGGGCAAACATTTTGATTTAATATTGATTATGTGTCTCTCTCTATTAACTATAATAGATTGTTTTAGAGGAACCCTAATCACTGTATTAAGAGTGTCCCTGCTTTCACAAAATACACCTTCCATTCTGAGCAAACCTTATTATTGCTGAAACATTTCCGCTTGCTGAAAGTAGAAGACTCATTTGTCATCTGTAAGTGTTAAGTGTGGAGCAAAAAATAATCACAAGACGACACGTGAATTTTTGGACAAAAAAGGACAAAAATACCTTGCGGTACAACGGGATTCCTCCGCATGAGCAGCGGGCAACCCTCCTTCAACCAAGTCAAAAGTGCCCAAAATAGGTAACAATTTAAAGCCTATTTCATCAAATCATTTCTATAAGGTAATTCCCAAAACCTAATTTATTCCATATATTTTCTATTTCATTATTTAGCTAATCAGTTGGCTAAATAATATATTCCTTTCATATTTCCTAAAATCTTCCTTTAAAAACATAATAATTGACTAATTAAGGGATTAATTGCCTAATCAATCCCCTAATTGTCAATTAAATCACCCATTCAACCACAAAAACAAGTCAAAGGCCGGCCATCCCCATTCAAAAAGGAGTCCACCATACTTTCTACCCTTTTTTTTTTAATCATTTCTCCCTTTTAATTACACTAATTAGCTAACCAATTAATTTCATAACCACCAAAACATTCCCTATATGTTTAAGTAGCCAATTAATCATAATAAATTGGCTAATTAAACCAAAATTAAACCCAAAAACCTTACCTAATGGCCGGCCACTCTTTCTCTAAAGAGGACCGGCCTATCCCTATAAATAGACTCCCATTTTCACCAAAAGATCATTCTAACACACTTGCAAAATTCCAAAAACTCTCTAAACACTTTTTCTCTCTAAATTCTAACTTTGGCATCGGAGGTTCTTCAACTAAAGCCCCCCATTCATCGTGAGCGTGCGAGGCTCTTGGCCTTGACCTAAGGTGTTAATTGTTTTGTAGGTGCAATTTTGTCCAAGATTAAGGAGGAAGAAATTTGCATCCACATTAAGTCTTTCGTATTCTACAAATAAGTAAACTATAATTGGTTTTATTGTAATATATGTTTATCAAATATGTGATCCTAATGTGTTGTTCTTATGATTTCAAAAAGAAAACTTTAACGAAAAACTCTCGGTACTGTTCACTTTAATGAAAAACCATATTTTTACATTAAAAAGTCAATCATAGTAATATTCACTTTACCATTAATTTTATCATTTTTGTTAAAACTCAAAATTTTCAAACATTTTTCATTAGTTTTCCTTTTAAAAAAAAAAGTATTCTTTCGAATCTAAGAATAGGTTTGATTTATCCCCTTCCCAATATCATATGAACGATGAGTTAATTTATCAACTTATGAGTTCACATAGAAATACTTAGATGGAGGGCAGACAATCTTTGTCCCTCGAGTTAATCCTACGGAAGAGTTCTTTTCGTCAAGTAGCCCTAGGGAAGTATCGTGATTTTACTGCCAGTAGGCCGCCATGGCATTAACAGGGAAAAGTAATTTTTCTTTTTTCCCCTGTTTTTGAACTTTTAACTTTCGAGATATTTTTCACAAAAAATAAAAAATAAAAAAAGTGAGATGCTTGATGGCAACTTGGTGATCTGCATTACAGCTAACTTAACCACACCACCGCATATCACCAGAGGGTTATCGAACATACAGAAATAGTCATCAAAATTTATATAGTACCAAAATCGCTGATGTCAGCTTGATGTATGATTTTTGGTTACGATAGACGGAATCGAACTTGAAACTATCTTAATCCTAACGCATTATCCGACCTCTAATCGCTTGAGTTAACCCTAACCACGTAATGGACTCAGAATTTGAGTTTACAGGAAGTTTATCTTAGCTAGGAATTAAGAAATGTAAAATCAAATTCCACAATTAACTCATATCAACCAAATATCACAAAATTTTATCGATTAATCAATTTAATTTCGCCGACGAACCCAACATATCTCTGCAAATTCCAACAAGTTAATTATATATACTAACATATTCACAACCTACATATCTGATATCTTTATATCTAAGAAATAATCAAGAAATTAATATTGATATTAATCAAAGGGTACAACCACAAAAGAGAAAGAAGAAGCAAAGCATACAGGCCAAGGCAAAAGACTCCACCACAGTTATCAACGTCCACACCACATCATCGAGTATCGAGAAGCTGAACCCTCCGACGCTCTGCAAGTTCAAACTCCACCCAGAAGTGAAGTACGAGAGGTCGAATATTCCGGTCCACGACCACCGGAATATTCCTAACCAGGGCATGGAGAAATCGAAATCCAGCCAGCTGAAAGCCGAGGAGTACCACCTCGCTGCGCACATGAGGAATCAATATATGATCTCTCAAGTATTTCTTTGTGCTGGCGGAGAGCTCTCTGGCACATTCATAACACAAAGTTGGACTTGGAGGAATAGTAAATGGGACATATATCATATATTAGATGCTTTTTATATATAATTATTTATTTATCTGGGTCAAGGGAAATATGGTTAATTGGGTAAATATCTATCAAGTACACGTGTTCCAGCTATGATTAGCTGACTAGATTAATTGGGTGGTGTCCCGACAGGATCAGTGAATTATATTCGTTCATCGTACATTATATAATCAGTTTTTATCAGGTACTGTTTGTGTTTAATTTAAAATAAAAATATTTAAAATAATTTCTGACTACACGATGTACAATAAACGGATATGATTAATGGATTCCCGAGACCCTCACAAAGAGGAGTCGGCAAGGATCCTGGTTCGGGTGGTGACAAGCATTTGATGTGGGGTTACGTTACATACGTACCAATCTTAACATATAGTTACATAGATTCTACGCTTGTGTTCTAAATGCCCGGGAATGTAGTTTTCATTTGCATCTTTTTCAAAGAGATAAAATGAAAATAGTTCCTAGCCATACACGGTAAATGCTCTCACGGTATGCTACATGCAATTTTGCATGGACGGACGTGAGTTTAATTACAAAAGTATAAGAATCGAATTATTGTCGTGAATACTGGTGAAATATGCACACAAAAAAAAGAGCTTAACCTCATAATAAACTAATAATTATTTACTGTTTTTAAATAAAAGAAGTTTTACGATGAGTTTTATTTTATTGTTTTTTCTTCAAATAAACCGAAGAATTACTATACAATTTGAATCCATTCTTTATCCACCATACCCTGTCATTCTCAGTCTCAACAGTATTCCACCTAACTTTTATTTTATTTTAGTCTATTTTTTTAATTTTTTTTTCTTTACTTGACAAAGAAATTTGAAATTCCCCCTTGATCGGGTTTGAATGGCCGGGGACATTTTATCCAAAAACCTTCCCTTATAAAGAAACCAATCTCATTGATTTTAAACTTTGATGGTTAATTTTTTTTTTCAAACAACCAAAAACGCTTGTAAAACAATTTAATAACAAATGTTAAAATTACCAAAGAGCAATGATATTTAAAAAAAAAAAGCATTTCCTGTCATAATATCTTCACTATTAATTATTCTAGTGTTTAGTCTTTTCGTCGTGTGTTTATGTGGCTATGACCAAAGCAACAATTAAAATTTTGGCCATGTTTCCACAAAAAAGCCAAATTATGCAATTATTAATTAGTTTGGCATGATTTTGCAAGCTAGAAAAAGGACACCAACATGTGCCTCGTTGGGCCTCTATGTCTAGTAAGGTGTAAACCTAAAGAGACTAACAAGCGACATCATCCACCAAAGTTTACCAAAAGTTCAATAACACATGAAAAACATTGAGTGATATAATGTAAATGCCCAAAATGTAATTTGCAATTATTAGCCAAACGATAATATATGATTTTTCATAAACAACAACATGAAGACCAAGTGTCATTCATATATAACTCCACCTATGTTGAGTTGAATAAAGCTATAGTGTAGTTGCAGGTGGTCTTGCCTAGAGTGTTCTAGTCCTCCATTGAGATTAGGAGATCGGTGGATTCTATTCTTGAATTAGTGTTGGTTTTGTTTGTGCCGCGTTTGGTTGATGAAGTGGTCTCGTCTTCGAGAGATGATTTTGTGGTCTCATTTTTCAACTGTGATTTTATGTGATCTTGCTCTCCGGTTATGACGTTATGTGGGCTTGCTCATCAGTGAAGATCGGTATGTGCATTGTTATAGGTTTGTTACATCTATCGTTCTTGTAACAAATTTGTATTAGTGCACTTGTACCTGTGGTAGTCGCGTATAAATTTTTAATTAATTGCTTATTTGTATAAATTCACTTCAAATCAATTCGTTGGTCACTAAAATAATATATCTAATTGACATCTTTGTGTTTATTTATGATGATCAATAAAATACCGCTGCCAAAAAGCTTCCTCAACTACGAAGTTGTGGTCAACAAAATTATTACCCTATGTCGGTTAATGTACACACTCCGCCAGTCCCCCAATTCCGGCCCCTAAAAAGAAACAACGAGAAGAAGGTGGGGCCTACACATCTTATGATCCACTGAAAATAATGGGCCGTATTTTTGGGTCTTCACACATCAATCAAGAACCTTGATCCAACCTGGCCCAATAACATGGGCCCAGAATCTGGAGAACCCGAAGAGAAACCCTAACCCTAGTGACCTCAGACTACGCCCTCCCTTGCACGTGACAAATCATCTAATTACCTTATTACCTAAGCGAATATGAAGCGCCGCAGGAAACCCTATTAGAACAGAAGTACAAGTTGGCTCACCAGGACCGTCCGATTTTCCGCCACGTCACCTGTCCGCGTGAACCCGCGTTTCAGTGGCTCAGATCGCTGGTTGCAGAGCTACTGCTAGAGCGAACCAAGCAGCTCCTCTCTCGTCCCTCCCTCCCTCTATCTCACTCCCTCTCCCAAATCCAATCCCAATTCGTTTCCTTGAGAACAGAAAGGGGAGATTTTCTCTGCAAATTTGTGTGAGCTTGGAGAGGATGAAGGCTATGGAGGAAGTTGTGGAGGAAAACGAGGTTAAGCCTTTGACCGCCGAGCAATTGGAGCTCTACGAGTCGCAGTCCCAGTCTGAGTCCGAGTCCGAGTCCGACGACAGCGTAGACGAAGAGGAGGAGGACGCCGACGAGGATGAGGACGACGACGACGACGACGATGCGGATGACGACGAAGAGGACGACGATGACGAAGAAGAGGACGACGACGACGATGTTCAGGAGGTCGTACAGTCGTCTGGTGGCCCTCCGATTCACTCGGTAGACGACGAAGACGATGAGGACGAGGACGACGAAGGCGGTGAAGGCGGTGACGACGATGACGATGGCGAGGGAGATGACGACGACGACGATGATGAGGGCGAGCCTGATGAAGAGGTAATCAACTCAAACTTTACCTTTTCCCGAATTTTCTATTTTTTATTATTTAGTTTTGGTGTGGATTCAACAGATCTGGTCATTTTTATATGTTTTTGTTGTGTTTATGTGAAGAAATAATTTTTGATATTATTTAATCTGATTTTCCTAGCGTTCTGGTCCCGGAATTCAAGGTAGATTTGAATTTTCTTCTGGTTTTTTTCTATATTTTTTTTAATTGTAATTAGATTTGAAATATTTTTCTGTGATCTGTTAGTCTGTAGATTTGCAGTTCGCATTTATAATTTGCAGTCAAGCACGTAGCTATAGTGTTTATTACTTTTTATTTTTCTAAATATTTATTTTTCATGTAGCAAAATTTAGAGAAAAGTCCTCCATCGGATTTTCTTTTAGCTTTTTCATCTGTGCCTCTGCTAAGACTTGTCATAAAACTTTTTGAAATTATTCTTTAAACCTTTTATTAATTTGGCTTCTTTGTTGTTTGTTGATTTCATCCTTTATTTTGATTAGATTAAAGCCGGCTGCTTTGAGGTTTTCCTTTTTCCCTTCTGTAAATTTGGCATGTAGTTTCTTGTTGATGTGGCTACTGTTTACTTTTAAATCGAAAAGATTTTCGGCCTAAACCCCGTCTGTGATTACTTTTCTTCGCTGACATATGTTGAGGGCGAGCGTTGAACGTAACAGAAATGTTAATGAGATCGAGTCGTGGAAACAGGATCAGGATCCTCTCCTGAGCTAAGGATGAGGATCCTCCTCATCAATTGGTGTAGGCTGTCGGATGAAAATCCAACGGCTACAAACAGGGGGTCCTTTTAAAGTTATAATAATTGTAGCCGTTGGATTTTCATCCAACGGCTCATATCCCTTGATGAGGAGGATCCTCATCCTTAGCTCAGGAGAGGATCCTGGTATGTGGAAACAGTCTCTTTGTAAAGAAAAGGGTAATGTTGTGTATAATAGATGTTTACCAGACCCTTGCAAAGCGAGGAGCCTTATAGGCATGAGGTTTCCCTGACGTCTACTTTTTGTAGTTACCCGGTGTCTGCATTTGACAGCGACAAGCCTTACGGATCTCTGAGCTGTGTTTACGTCTACTTTAATTGTTATTCCTTTATTGCGATTGTTTGAATGGTGGCTTATGTTATCAATTCATTTGTTCATTGTGGATGGTTCTGTTTTGTTATGGTATCTGATGGTTAAACAGTGGCTGACATATTTTGAAAATCTGTAGGATGAGCTAGGAACTGAGTACCTCGTCCGCCCGGTAGGTCGTGCTGAGGATGAGGAAGATGCGAGTGATTTTGAGCCTGAAGAGAATGGAGACGATGAAGATGTTGAAGATGGAGACGAGGGCGATGATGCTGGTGGGAAGGTGGAGGCTCCCCCAAAGAGAAAGAGATCGGACAAAGATGACTCAGACGATGACGACGATGATGGAGGAGAGGATGACGAGAGACCCTCCAAACGATAGGGGTTAGAGTACCGACCATTAACACATAGGTCATTCGCTCTCTCATAAACTCATCGTCCCGTTTGTAGAAAGAAGGATAGGATGATTTCGGAATTCTGTGGCGCTGTTGTTCTTGCTGTAGTAGTATGAAGGTGGAGTAAATTTCGTAGGTTTACAAGAAGCTTGTCATATCTTGTTAATGCTTAGTTGATGTCAGTCAGTCAATGTGTTGAGGAACTTGAAAGAGGTTGGTTTTAGAGAAGTTAATGTAAGTTTTAAGGAACTTGATTAAGCTTGTAGCCTTTTCAGTATTCTCCTTTTGTTATCTGGTAGGGTTGGTTGCAGGATTACTAGGGTAGGACCCTTTGAACAATTCAATTTTGGTTGGTTGAAAACTCGGAAGTTTGGTAAATCAACATCCGATGATGATTGATTCTATTTTTATATAATGGTGGAATGGAATGAGATACTTTCTTGGGTACTCGGTATTCGGGACTCTGGATATTTTGACTGTTGGATTATTCTAAAAATATAAAATTTAATATTTAACGGTTAAAATGTAACATTCCACATCGTTTAGGGGAGTTGATATTTTAAGTGTTATATGTATATTCCCATCTCTACCTAGCACGAGGTCTTTTGGGAGCTCATTGGCTTAGGTTTCCATCGGAACTCGAAGTTAAGTGAGTTATTACGAGAGCAATCCCAGGATGGGTGATCCATTGGGAAGTTCTTGTGTGAGTTCTCAAAAACAAAACTGTGAGGGCGTAGTTGTTGCCCAAAGCGGACAATATCGTGCTACGGCAGAATCAGGCTCGGGATGTGACAATTTGGTATCATAGTCAATCCCTAGCAGGAAGTATGCTGATGAGAACATCGGGTCCACTGGGAAGTTCTCGTGTGAGTTCCTAGAAACAAAACCGTCAGGGCATAGTTGTGGCCCAAAACGGACAATATCGTGCTACAGCGGAGTCGGGCCCGAGATGTGATGGGGGGCCGTGTCGGATGTGACAATTTGGTATCGGAGCCAATGTTTGGTCGGAAATGTGCTGACGAGAACATCAGGCCCATAAGAGGAGTATATTGTAACATTCCACATCGTCCAAGGGAGTGAATCCTCTAAGTCTTATATATATATATTCTCATCTCTACTTAGCACGAAGTCTTTTGGGAGCTTATTGGTTTCGGGTTCTATCGGAACTCCGAAGTTAAGCGAGTTCGCCCGAGAGCAATCCTAGGATGGGTGATTCATTGAAAAGTTTTTGTGTGAGTTTCCAGAAACAAAACCGTGAGAGCATGGTTGAGGCCCAAAGTAGATAATATCGTGCTACTGTGAAGTCGGACCAGGAATATGATAGAGGCCCAGACCAGGATATGACATAAAACATCTGAACTATCTTAATACTCCAGAGCACCAAATTTTTTTTGTGAAATTGAAGGATCAATCCCCACCTAATTCATGCACTCTCAAGTTTTTGCACTTCACTTTTAAATAAAAAAATGGAAAATCAATGAACAGAAAATACTGGCGTCTATCTCTGGTGCGACCTCTTCGTCCACTCATTTCAAAATGCTAAATAATTTTTAAATGCAGATTTAAATTCTTGGAGCATCAATAACACGTTCTATTTTATTTTGGTAGATTAATTGTTGGGCGAGGTGAGGGCCTTTGCATCAGCAAACTCTGGTCGAAGCAAACTCTTCAAAATCTGCCGACAAAATTTATCAGACCAAATAAAATAGAAAAATGCAAAGTAATAAAAACACGGTGTTATCTACACATTATTTTTATTGCTTACACAAGCATTGCTTACTACTTCTCGAATGGAAACGAAGATTTAGGATGGTCAGTTGTTAGAATCATAGGAAAGGGATTCTCTCCAGATTATTTATTCCTAATTCACCAAATCAGGGGATCTGTGCCGTTGAAAATTGATCAATCGACTGAAGTTATTATAACTTTTAAAATGAACCCTATTTGTAATCGTTTGATTAAATTTCAAAGACACGAATCCTCTAATTTGGTAGATTAAGAGAAAGGGATCCAAAGAGGACCCCTTTCGAGAATCATACAATCAAATTTGTATTAAAATGTGTTTTAACAATGTTATTTTAGATCATATTGCTTAAAAAACCTCTCTCTGAATTATAAAAGTATAAAAATAGGATAGACTATATAAAAAGAAAATGATAGGACAATTTTGATAGGTGGGGGTAGACCCCAAAATTGGAAATATTATTTATAAGCAATAAGGTCCCATAACTATTCCATTTACTTGCATCAAGTATCATTCTCAAACTAAATAGATAATAGAATTTTGTGGATATTGCCCAATTTACAAGATTGGATGTTACAAGTTTGGTGTTGCATCTCTCTCTCTCTCTCTCTCTCTCTCTCTCTCTCTCTCTCTCTATTTTAAATTGAAGACATATATTATCCCTCATTTATTCCAAATAAGGCAACCAATACAAAAGAATGAAATTTAGGGTCCATTTGAAAATCTTGTTTTCAATCCGATCCATCTGAAAATTCTCTCCTAGCTCATTCGGTGCAATGTAAAATCAAATCTAGATCAAATTTGATAGACTACGTCAACCAGTATGTTTCTGGTGTGGTTTAATAATCGAAGATTAATGGGGTGGATTTTATTGATTTAAGTTGTGCATTGTTAATTTTTGTTTGTTGTTTAGTTATCGTTGTAGTTTGCAGTAATTATAGAAGCTCAATATGAGTTGTTCGACCTCATTCTAGGTGAGTTTGGTCAATATGAGGTCGATTTGGTAGTTCTCCACCAGAGTAATGAAGGTGAGTGGATCGAGTTTGGTACCTACTACTAAACAGTGTTTGTGTTATAAAAAAATGTTTGTGATATAATTTGCAGCCTTGATATCTTTGTTTACAATGTTTGTACAGAAGCATGACGTTTTTCATATCATGATTGTTTTAAGAGTTTTTATTTCTTGCATGATAAGAGTTTTCATCTCTCGTATGATCTTACAACAATGAACACTGCCATCACTTTTAACATTATTATTACACGTTTAGGCAGAATCCATAAAAATCAGAACTGAGAACCGTGGATCCACATCCACACCGTCGGATCCAAATCCAACGCCCCATAAAAAACGAAGGTCTATCCCCATTAAGTTGAAATTAATGACACGATTTAAATAACAGTTAAAAGAAATGGCGCTATCACAAAAAATGGAAAAAAAAAAAAAAAAAAAAAAAAATTCTAACCATATATGGTTGTCTCTCTCTCACGGCGTCTCTGTTCCCCACTCGTTTCCCACCTTCTCCTTCCCTCCGACGCTCTCTCTCTCTCTCTCTCTCTCTTTCTCTCTCTCTCCTCTCTCCTCTCGCTTTCTCTCTCTAAATTGAATACTCTGCAGTGCGGCGTATATTACCACACAGACATTGCATTTCGTCCTCCAGATTCAGCAGCTGATCGAATCCGATCTGTGAAATGCTTGCTCATTGATCCCTCCTCTCAGTCCGATCCGCTGCTTTCCAAAGATGATGATCTTTAGCCCTGTAACTGCCGCCCAGGTACTCGATTCCTCAGCTTCTACTGTTTTCTTCCAGATCTTGCTCGAATTCGGGCCCTTGCTTCCCGAATTTGTGTAATTTTGTCAATGATTTAGGTATAAAGTGGTGAATTTTGTTGAAAGATAGTGAGGATTTAGTTCCTTGTGGTTTCAGGTTTCATTCTTGCTCGGAGTTATTCCGATAATCGCAGCTTGGATTTATGCCGAGTTCTTGGAGTACAAGAAGAATTCACTTTCTTCCAAATTGTGAGTTGAACAATTTCACTTTAGCTCAGTTAATTTATATGTATTGAAGCATTGCAACACTGAAAGCTCGAACTTCGTATGTATATCTATGTGTAAGTATTTGCGTATGTGAGTGATAGAAATGAGCTTGTTCGGGTTTGTGCTGAGTGAGATTGGTTTTTGACATTAGCAGGTACTCCGAGGTGAATTTGGTTGAATTGGAAAAAGAGGTGGTTAAAGAGGATGATAGAGCTGTTTTGTTGGAGGGAGGAGGTCTACAATCCGCCTCCCCGAAAGCTCGAATTCCATCTGGCTATTCGCCTATTTTCAGGTTTCTAAATGATACTCTTTGGGCTCTGAGTTGTTGGTTAATGATTGCTTAAGCCATGTGCTTACGGTTAATATGTGTTTAGGTTCATGTTGATGGATTCGTCTTTCTTGCTTGATAATCGGCTGACGCTTAGGGCAATGTAAGTGAATTTTTTCATGGGTTGAATAAAATGTGTATTCATTTTTAGTGTATCAGAATGATGACCTTTGCCTCTCTTTGTGTCTCTCTTACAGATCTGAATTTAGTATCCTGTTAGCGTACTTATACTTATGCGATCGTACGGATTTCTTCAATGCATCAACAAAGGTGATATTGATAACTTAGTCATAGTATATTTACATTTCAGTCTTCATTATTAGCAATGTTTAGTGTTCGACGAAGCAATGTCACTGCACAAGTATTTGATTGAAAAACACTAGAATTTAAATGGTAAAACACGAAAACAAAATAACAAAGAAAGTAATAGGGAAGTCCATCTATTTTTTCATTTAATTTTTTTTATATCTTTCTATATTGAGAGCCTTATATTCTTGAACGTCATCTGTTTGTGCAGAGTTACAATCGGGATCTTTTCATATTTCTATACTTCCTTCTCATCATAGTTTCAGCAATGACTTCTTTCACGGTACATAATGAGAAGTCTCCGTTAACCGGGAAAGCCATACTTTATTTGAATAGGCATCAAACTGAGGAGTGGAAAGGCTGGATGCAGGTTGGTCATTTTGCAATCTTTTATGACAAATGCTTGTCTATGTGCATTTCATTGGTACCAATGTTCAATGTATAAACCGTTAGGTCTTTAAGTATGTTCACAATCCATGCTTCTGTCATAGAGAATAATAATACTAGGCATCTGGCTTTCCATTGAGGTCTTACTCTTCTTTGCTCTATGTTACAGGTGTTATTTTTGTTGTACCACTATTTTGCTGCAACAGAAATTTATAATGCAATTCGAGTATTTATTGCTGCATATGTCTGGATGACTGGATTTGGAAACTTTTCTTATTATTATGTCCGCAAAGATTTCAGCCTAGCAAGGTTTGCACAGGTATGGGGTTTCCTAGATCTCTAAGATTGCGTGGGTGAGTTTGCCATATTTAGTGTATATATAACTCAACTCATTCCTTTTTATGTGTAGATGATGTGGCGGCTTAATTTCTTGGTACTTTTTTGCTGTGTTATCCTTAACAACAGTTACGTGCTGTACTACATCTGTCCAATGCACACTCTATTCACTCTTATGGTTTATGGGGCACTTGGTATTATGAACAAATACAATGAAACTGGGTCAGTGATAGCTGTGAAAATCGCCGGTTGCTTCTTGGTTGTTATCTTGGTGTGGGAAATACCTGGAGTGTTTGAATTGCTTTGGTGGCCATTTACATTCCTCCTTGGTAAGTAACTGGTACAGCTTTATTTACCATGTCAAACATTGCAGACTACTGACCCAAATTGCCAAATTGCTAAACAAATTTGCAGGCTACACAGATCCTGCGAAACCTGGTTTACCCCTCTTGCATGAATGGCATTTCCGCTCAGGCCTGGATCGATATATATGGATAATTGGAATGATTTATGCTTATTATCATCCAACTGTAAGGCTTGATAAAAATCCCATCCATTTACACCCATTTTCCAGTCCAATTTTGTCTTTGGTGTATTTTTTGTACTTGACTGGTGGATTTAATATGAGAGCTTCTGTTTAGGTTTTGTCATTCTTTTGAGTCAGTAGCTAACCAATTGGCAAATATCTTTATAGGTTGAAAGATGGATGGAGAAACTGGAGGAATCAGAATGGAAGCGTAAAACATCAATCAAATCAGCAGTTTCCTTGATAGCCTTAATGGTATTATGACTATCATATTCAGGAAAATCCCGCTTCTTAAACATTGATCTCTAACAGTCTGAATTTCCAGGTGGGATATCTATGGTTTGAGTATATATACAAGATGGACAAGCTTACTTACAATAAATATCATCCCTATACCTCATGGATTCCAATAACGTATGGTATCTCTCCTTGAATGTTTTAACAAATTGGACTGTATGTAACTTATCCTATTGACTAATATAGCATCTTGTTCTTGTTTACCAGGGTCTACATATGTTTGCGAAATGTCACACAACAATTCCGCAGCTACTCTTTAACCCTTTTTGCGTGAGTGGCCGTCTTGTGATATCTCTGTTTTAATCTATCTAATCTCACGTGTTAGAGTTGTATCATTTGCTTTGGACAGCATTCGGTTTAACTTTGAAAGATTGTGGTAGCTGTAGTTGTTTTAGTTTTGGTTAAAAGTTATGCTTTATCTGTAATTCTTAAAGATTCTTTGATATTGAAAACATTTTTTCCCCCTCCTTACATTGTCTTTGGTTTACCAGGTGGCTTGGAAAGATCACACTGGAGACTTACATCTTGCAATTCCACGTCTGGTTAAGGTAAGCTTATAGTTGTTCCTGCAGCACGTTTAAGGTTTCACTAATAAGACCGGCTTTGCAAATTTTTTAAGCACCTTCTGTTAGCAAATATTTGGTCAATGAGAACTGGTGGCACATTGTATACGTATTTCCTGATTACGTACATACACATATGTATTCAGATACCTTTCTTACTCTGGTTTCTGTGAGAATTTGCAGGTCAAGTACCCCTGATGCTCAGCCGAAGTTGTTGCTTTCTATGATCCCGGATTACCCAATGTTGAACTTCATGCTCACTTCTGCCATATACGTTGCTGTAAGTAAAGGACGTTAATTGCTGTAATCCGAAGATACTCTTTTTCTCATTGTTGAAACTTTGCTATATTGCAGATCTCTTGCAGGCTCTTCGACCTGACAAATACTTTGAAAATAGCATTTGTACCCAGTAAAGATAACAAGCGCCTCGTCTCCAACATAGTTACAGCCACAGCAGTTTCATGTGGATTATACTTCATCTCTTTTGTCTTCCTAAAAGTCCCCCAAATGATGGTAAGTTTAATGCATCTGAATTGGTTAGTTAAAGTCCGAGTCCGTTTCACATTGTTCAAAATGAGTAGTGACTTCGGGCATTTCCCTGCTTCATCTGTTCACATGGTTCTCATCTCACTCTGCAATTTTGTCGACTCTTAAAACTCCACAGGCTTGAGAATTCAAATATGTAGAAGACATAGAACACAATAAGGCCAGTTGCTTGTCAAAGTTTATGCGACACCGGAGAATACTGTTCCACTGCAAGAAATCTTGTCTCCGTAACCCAATTGGGATATCGAATCATCTGCTGCTCATCACAAATCACTCGGTTATTAATCGAATTGTAGATCATTGTATTAGTTCTTTTGTCAACATTGTATTAGCATTAGGTGTCGGGACGTACGTTGCATAGGGAAGGGTGGGTACTTAGCATTACATACTAAATATTTGGTGTTTTAAAGATTTTAAACAACTGCAAACTAATTAGGCCCTGTTTGGAATTGCTCATGTAAGTACTTTTTTTTGTTATTAAAGTTTAGGGAGAGAGGAGGCTACGCCATCTCAAGACCAGAGCATACCACAAGCTTCTTTGAAGACTACATAGGGGGTCGTAGCTTCTTTTTATTTTATTTTTATAGATCGTCCACCAATATAAATTGTCGACAACAAAGCTTGAACCTAAGCCTTAGTCTAACAAAGATGACAATTCTTACCAAACTTAACCAACCCTCCTCGTTAACCATGTAAGAAGCACTTTTACCTTTCATTATAAACAAGTCAAAATTTCTATTAAAAACTCAATGTGCTTTATGAACTCACTTCTATAACTCATAAAAGTAGTTTTTTCATCTTTTCTGCTGAAGTAAAAAACATTTTTTATTAGCAAAAAGCGCAAAAATCTCAAACAAACCCTTGGTCCTAAAGAATTCATAAATTGCACTTTGGCATGCTGTCACCGATATCTCACCCGTGAAAGGTTACTGCTGTACTCTCAACATAGCTGCCTCAACCTCAATATATAAAAAAATGATTTCATTACCTCTGTCCAACATTCAAATTGGTTAAGAAAAAAACATGTGCGACAGTAATCCAAAGAGCAAAACAGCTCCGGATACCGCCAACAAGCCTGTGTATGTTATCCTTTCAGCTAAGCAGCATTCATCGGAAAAAAAATAGCGGTGGACAAAGCCAACGACGACATTCGTTTGGTTTCAAATCGGCAGCAAAAGACTACATTGCAGGAAGCAGCAACGGGTTCAGACCTTTCTTGAAATAGTAAATAGTTAGCAGCACCAAAGGCCCCCTTTCATTCGAGACGTAGCAGATAATCCCTCAGAATATATGCACAAGGTCATATGCGAATGTCCAGAACAGCACGAATGACAAAAGCCCACCCAGAAAGCCGTCGAGTATAATCTGGCTCCAGCTATCAAAATATGAATAAACTGTAAACCCCGTCTTGGCAATGAGTCCAACTGAAGTGACGGTCATGATAAGAAAATAAAAAATAAATCCGGTGAGGCCAGTGAACCCCAAAATTCCAGCAATGACACCACCGATGATAGACATGAATGTTCGGCTGCACAAAGGACAAATGCAGACATTTTAGTATTAAGCCAGAAAGTTATAAGAACGTAATTTCTAGCATGAAAACATTTTGAAGATATCAAATCATTTGGTGTGACATCTTCCCGCATGCTATCTTATGATTCATCCAAAAGGTCATTACGCGACAGTTAAGCTAGCCTGATGTGTGATATAGTAACCGACATGAGTAAATACATGGAACTGTGATCCCTCCCAACATTTAGCAAGATAATTTATCATCGATTACAGGAGGATCGACAAGTCCACATAAGAACACATGGGAAACATAGAATAAGTTTTCATGATGGGCCATGAGGTTGTCAAAACAAACCTGTAATATATAACTTTCATGTTACTTTGCAAATTCTCAGCGTTGAGGGTTGGCACATCAAATGCGGCCTCGCTAGATTTCTTCTCAGACACACCCATACCTTTTTCTTTCTATGAGCTGAGAAATAATTCCTGAAGAAAAAGAAAAAACAAACCGACAGTCCCTCAGTTTTGTATAAAACATCACCCTAATGTCATTGGACTAAATAACTAATGCAAGTTCAATCAGGCAGCTAGTCCAAAAAAAGGCAAACCATAGCGTAATAGGGAAAAAGAACAGGAAATCAAACAGGTAAAGCTGTGGAGGAAGCAAATATACACAAAACTTTCAGAACACAGTGAATGGAACTCCTAGGCATTCACTAGACTCATAGTCATATGGCATATCTGAAATTTCCACCAGAGGGAAAATCTATAGAGTACAAGGTGAAAGACTCAAATGGGTTTGCAACTTTGCATGAAGTTCTACAATCACATAGAAGACTCGTTTCTGCTTTAAGAAATTACGATGAACTAAATTATCGAGATTTCAATGTATAAACAGCACATGACCGGCTAAAACAAGTCACACAAATTGCCAACCTTCGCGTCTGAAATCCAAATCACACGCTTGATATTTATCACTCAGCAGAAACTGAACTGGGTTCTTATAATGGCGTGTTTACTAAGGAGGAATGGAATGGGTAAAAAATGGAACTGCACGCTGTTCACGGATTCAGGTGTTTACTAATGGGTAGGAAACGATACACGGGCGGGATCCACCCTAATTCCTCCTTATAGTGATTACGAATTAGTAAACGAGCTATCAGTGTCCTGAAGATTTCTAGGTCTAAGGTTTTTCATAGTATGGGCACAGTAGAGTAACCTGACTACAAACAAGTCTATCACTAACACATCTCACATCATGAAAATTACATACCAACACAAACAGAATTATACAAACTCCAAACCATTACCCTGAACTTCTACAAATTCAAAAACCACACCCCTTTTCTGGAATTAAAATTTACAAAAAAAATTAAAATCTTGCCCCGCAAATTTCAGATTCAGTGTAATCATCGGAAATCTAGTAGTACAAGATCTGTAATTTGGAAATATATCATAAAGCTCGATGAAATCCAAAACAAAGAAATTGAAGAAATTGCAGGGATGAACTTACAGTGAGGAGCGATCGGAGGCCTCTGCTCTTCCAGTCTGCAGAGCGAATGAGCTTTGTTTGTGCGTAATTGGGTTTATGGGTCTTAGAAGGAAACCGAGTCCGAGTCGAAGTACCCAACCCGCCGATCCAGTTTACCAAATGTTTGTATTTCGCCCCGAAAGTTTAATTCGTTTCACATTTTTGCCCCTATCCTGAACCTGAAAACCCATTTCTGTCCTCCCCTTCTTCACTTGGACTGTACTTTCTTTTACTCGGACTGTAATTTCTCTGCAACCCAAACCCTAAAAACCCTTCAAATTCTTCAACTTTGATTGGATATCAAGCGTCCCAGAACACAAAAAATTGATCTTTCATTGATTAGGTTTTGAAATTTGCTTCAGCTAGGGTTTTGAAATCTCTAATTTGATGAGCAAAATTTGAGCTGGTTTTCCGATGTATTTGAAGGAAGGACGCTCCTTGCTGCTGAAAGTTCACAAACCATCAGTCCCATTTGTGCTCAATACAACAAACCCAATTCTCGGTTCAAACCCTAAACCCCAAATCGAACCCAATCAAGATCAACCCTTTCTCAAAGAGTCTGATGTGTTGCAGAGGTTGAAATCCGAGCACCATTTGGGCTCTGCGTTAGAGTATTTCAGGTCAATTGCCAATTCCAGAGCTTTTGAGCATACCCCATTGACGTACCATGCCATGATTGAGAAGCTTGGGAGGCAATGTGAGATGGATGGTGTGCAGTACTTGTTGAACCAGATGAAATTGGAGGGAGTTGGGTGCTCTGAGGAGCTGTTTATATGTGTGATCAGCTCGTATCGGCGAGCTGGGTTGGCTGAGCAGGCCTTGAAGATGTTCTATAGGATTAGGGAATTTGGGTGCAAATCCACTGTCAAGATTTACAATCACCTCTTGGATGCTCTGCTTAGCGAAAATCGGTTTCAGATGATTAACCCGATATATAGCAATATGAAGAAAGATGGGATGGAGCCAAATGTATATACTTATAACATTCTGTTGAAGGCATTGTGTAAGAATGATAGGGTTGATGGTGCTCACAAACTGCTTGTTGAAATGTCTAAGAAGGGGTGTTTGCCGGACGCAGTGAGCTATACCACTGTAGTGTCTGCATTATGTAGACTTGGGAAGGTAGAGGAAGCTAGGGAGCTTGCTGGTAGGTTTGAACCCATTGTGCCTGTTTATAATGCTTTGGTGAATGGGGTGTGCAAGGAGAACAAAATTGAGGCGGCTTTGAAGTTGTTGGTTGAAATGGTGGATAAGGGTATAAACCCTAATGTTATCACATACTCAACGATTATTAATTCACTTTCTGATACGAGGAATGTTGAGTCTGCTCTTGCAGTTTTGGCTCAAATGATTGTGAGAGGATGTAGCCCTAATGTTCACACCTTTACTTCCTTGATAAAGGGCTATTTTGTGGAAGGGAGAGTACACGAAGCTCTTGACTTGTGGAATCGGATGATTCTCGAGGAATTTAAGCCAAATATTATTGCATACACTACTCTGGTACATGGTCTCTGCACTAATGGAAAAATGGGGGATGCTGTATCTGTTTGCCATGAGATGGACAAAAATGGTTGCCCTCCAAATGTGACCACATATAGCACTCTGATTGATGGCTTTGCCAAAGTTGGTGACCTTGTTGGTGCATCTGACACTTGGAACAATATGATGAACCGTGGTTGCCGCCCTAATGTTATAGCATATACTTGCATGGTGGATGTTCTCTGTAGGAATTTTATGTTTCATCAAGCTCGTAGTCTTGTAGAAAATATGGCTGCTGAAGGTTGTCCTCCGAATACAGTTACATTTAACACATTTATCAAAGGGTTATGTGCTGATGGAAAGGTAGATTGGGCTGTCAACATGCTCGATAAAATGGAGAAAAATGGGTGTTTGCCTAACATTACAACATATAATGAGTTACTGGATGGTCTCTTCAAGGCGAACAGATTTGAAGAAGCTTATGGAATTGTTAGGGAGATAGAAGAAAGAGGGATGATGATGAATTTGGTAACTTACAATACCATTTTGAATGGTTTTTGTCATGTAGGAATGACCAAGGAGGCTATGCAGCTTTTAGGAAAGATGCTGGTAAGGGGAACGAAGCCTGATGCGATCACATATAACACGATTATATATGCCAATTGTAAGGAAGGTACGATAAGCACTGCGATTCAGCTTTTCGACAGAATTGGTGCAGAAAAGCAGTGGCGACCAGATGTAGTAGCATATACTAGTCTTGTGTGGGGGATTTGTAATTGGGTAGGTTTAGATGAGGCCATGATTTATCTAAATAAGATGGTAAGTGAAGGGATCTGCCCCAACACGGGCACATGGAATTCGTTGGTGCGGTGTTTCTTTAGCAGTTTAGGTCATTTGGGGCCAATCTACATGCTGGACGATATAGTTCGCAATCGATAAGAAAACTGAGTTAGATGCTCTTATGGAGAATCATCTATTTCTGCGATGAGCCTACAGACATGCTTACACATTAAAGTCCGGTTACCTGTGAATATCTAAAGTAGCTCCTACACTCATCCCTTGCTTCCAGAAGTCTGAGCAAGCTGTTAGTGCAGTTGTACACCTTGGAGGCCATGGAAAAATGATGCAGCAGCAATTTTCGGTCTGCACTGGAACTATTGCACTGCTTGAAACCTGATGGAGGCAAAAGCCAACGCACCATGCTCCCCAGAAATGCTGCAAGATGTCACTGATCTTTAACTCTTTTTCTTATGGCATGTCGCTTTGCGCTCTTGTTGTAGCAATGTGCTAGTGTTTTTCTGCATGTAATCTCCATAGTTTCGTACTCTTTTTTGGTCGAAAATGTAATCCGTGTTATTTGCTCACTTATGTATGAATCATGTTCGTGAGTTGTGAATAGAAAATTTTGGCTGCAGATGCAAGTATTGCAACATATCATAAGAGTGTTTTCTTCATTTTCCGTGCTGTCTACTTTGTCAAGTTCCCGTGTAACCCGTTTTTATGCGAAGAAAAATCGAAGAATTTATGCGAACAAAATGAAACCTGTAAAGATTCCTTAGATCAAATTATTTAAGAACGTGATTTATTTTTTATTTAAAAAAAAAGAAGACATTCTGAACAGGGTAAATTAAATGTCAACCAAACAAGTCCTATTTGTTCATGTTCTATTCCTTTTTCAAATAAGATTTAGCAATCCGGCCGTCAGCTCCTTTAGGGTAGATACCGCCAGTGACACGTTCATCGCCGCTACCATATACGATCCTTAGGATCTCCTCTGGAGTCCTGTCATATGCAACCGAGTACTTGTCTCCGGCGAGAATGTTGCCGCTAATTTTTCCCTCAGCGCCTATGTATTCGTGAACCACAAGGCCTTCATCTTTCAAACCTGTGCGTCCTAGCTTATTCCTTAGATCCGAAAGACGATTTGTGAACTCGGCCACTGTAATGCCATACGGTTTCACTATCAGGTTCGCGTGCTCGTATAGCAGTGCTCGAATCACTGCATCTTGCCCTGATTCCACGCCCAAAAGACCTGCAACTAGCTGAACAGGACCAACATGCACATTCAGGTTCACAATAGTATGTGATAGAGAGTAACAAATTTGGTTATGCTTTTAAGGTAACGTTCTCTCGCCAAACTTATTTTCTGGATAAATGCCAGGACTATAAGTTTGGACGATGAATCATGTTGATTCTTGTCACAATATGCGGTCGAGATTGATCACATTCTAAAACACTTATATAACATAATACTTTCAGTTCTTGGTATTGTGTTTGAAGCTTACCCTTTTGGAAGCAGCACCTTGGAGCTTAGGGCTTGCACCAACATAGCCAGTGAGACCAACATAAGGAATCAAATAGGATGCAAGGAGATAGTTGATTGAATTGGCATAAGGGTCAAATGGTGGATTTAAGGGACTCCCAAATGCAGAATCAAACACATGGGCAAATGATTCTGCACTTTAATTCAACAATGGCCTTGGGAAACCCTTCACTGTTTTCTTAATGGCTCTGCACAAGAAAACACATAATTACGTTAGAAAAACTTTCTATTATGTAGCATTTGTAAACAAGAAATGATTTGTGCACGCTCATTTTCTCCTTCAAACATCATGTTCATTTTTGTTTCCTAATTCTTCTTTGATTCATTGGATCCAAATGCTAAAAATAAAATATGTCGGATATACAGAAGTTAAAATGAAGTGTGCGGAAATCACTTCTCTAGTAAATTAAGAAAATTACGAGGAAAAATATATAGAAAATTGAACCTCAAATGTCCAACTTCTTGCCATCCAAATTGCTCGATGACATCCCTAGTGAAGTGGTCCAACTGTGCCCTTTTAGCACCAATGGGAGTTGGACCTCCTAGGGTTAAGCTCGGATCAACTGTATCCAAGCCATGCCCGAAAGCACCATACAAAAAGAACTCAGCTTCCAAATACTCTAAATTCAAAGGAAACTCCAAAAGATCGACATCCGATTGCGGGATGGAGGAGGAGTCGTGATGGTGGTCCAATATCGATTCGGAATAGCAAGATAGTGGAAGGAGGATGAGGAAGGCAGCAATGGCTGTGGCATAAGCAAATGTAGCCATGTTTGTTACAGCTTTGAGTGTGTCTTAGCAAGTGATGGACTTGTTCATCTTATATAGCATTCTGACGAGCTCATGAGTTTAATGCACATTTAAAAACAATAAGAAAAATAAGAAAGAAAAATCTGATGAGAACGTCTTTTTTTGCATGCCTGCTGGGTGTACGTGGACGACGATCGGGGATGATTCATGATCCATAAGAGATAACAACGATTTCATGTTGCAATATTTTATGTTCGACATCGTTTGGAATGAATATTAACAAATATAAATATTTAGATTTTGTATGATTAGTATGGACAATTCATTATATTCGATTTTTTATTTAGAGAAAATTGAAAGGTGGATTAGACATTAAGGAAACTTATCATTTTAGTTCTACTTTTTTAGGAGAAATGGAATTGTAAAGGCTTTATTTTTATTTTTTTATGAGTAATTTATTTTCTCCTTCCAGTTGTACACACTGTTTTCATTTTTCACTTCGGTGTACGTTATATGTAATAGGATTGTAGGTTTTCTATTCCAATCCAACTGGACACCAAACAAAGCC